ATACATCTGCCCCAGAAACCTATGCCTAAGGCTGTTGGTTTTCCAAACTCAGGTCTCCTCCCAAAGGATTCGGGGTCCTTTTATTGCTAATCACGTTAGACCCGTTTCTATACGTCGCTCGAACGGCGTTTACCCAACGGCCCTGGGCGTTTGCACAAGGAGTCTTGCCCTGGTCGGCTCCTCTGGGCGCGCTCATCTGGGGCTTCGCTTGCAGGGGTGCTCACGAATCCTGCGGGCGCCCCCTCCTAAGGAGGAAGAGCAAGAGAAAGAGGAGGAGGAGGAGGAGGAGGAGGAGGAGGAGGAGGAGGAGGAGGAGGAGAGGGAGGAGGAGGAGGAGGAGGGGAGGAGGAAGATGAGGGGAGGAGGAGGAGGAGGAGGAGAGGAGGAAGAGGAGAGGCGATGAGTACGAGGGGCGAGGAAGAGGAGGGACGAGGATGAGGAGGAGGAGGAGGAGGAGGAGGAACATCGAGGAGGAGGCTGCTCTGAGGCAAAAGAGGAGGGACGAGGAGGAGCCATTTCCGAGCGCGCGCTGCTGGAGCCACCGAACCTCGCCCCTCGGTCGTCGAGCTTTTAAGCTGGATGCGCGCGACGTGGCCGGCTTGGGCGCGGGCCAGACACCCGCGTGGCCGCGCACTTTTCCAGCGCTCGTCCAACGCGTGGCTGGGCTCGCTGGACCGCCACCGCGCGTATCTCGCGCGCGTATGGGTTCAGCCACACGCGAGTCCGTCCCCGTCGAGCTCGATTTACAGCGAGAGGAGGTGGGGGTGCCTCGCCCCTCACTTGCCCGGGGACGGTTTTCCGTCCCAGAAGCCGTTTTCGATGGCTCGTGGGCCTGGAAATAGGCCTTGGATCCCGAACCCGATGCGCAATTCGACTGGCGAAAGACCCAAGCATATGCAGCTATGAGAACCGCAGTTGTGAATACATCATTCGGTGGCGCTCCCTGTGCGGCCACGAAACGTGCGAGGGGTGTGCCGAAGTAGGCGGTGCGGGGGCATGCGGGCCCTACCACTGGGGCCTTCGGTGGAGCTCCATGTGGGGCGACGGCCTTCGGTGGAGCTCCTGTGGGGCCACCAATCATGTGAGTTGTATTCCGACATGGGTGTGGCGGACGCATGCGGGCGGTGGCACAGAGGTTTTTGGTGGCGCTCTCTGTCGAGTCACGAAACGTGTGAGGCGTGTGCCGACATGGGCGTGGCGGACCCATGCGGGCGGTGACAATGGGGCCTTGGGTGGAGCTCTCTATGGGACCACCAAACGTGTGAGGGGTGTGCGGAAATTGGCGTGGCGGACGCATGCGGGCGGTGGCATTGGGGCCTTCGGTGGCGTTCCCTATGGGGTCACGAGATGTGTGAGGGGTGTACCGACATGGGAGTAGCGGACGCATGCGGGCGGTGGCAATGGGGCCTTCGGTGGAGCTCCCTAAGGAACCGCCAAACGTGTGAGGAGTGCGCCGAAATCGGTGTGGCAGACGCATGCGGGGGGTGGCGCTGGGGTCTTCCGTGCGTCCGCCACGCCCAGTACAGCGCTTCGTGGCCCCATAGGGAGCTCCACCTAAGGTCCCAGTGGGGGTGGCCACATACGTCTGCCACGCCAAGCACAGCGTTCCGTGGCCTTATACGGAGCTCCACCGAAGGCCCCAATTGGGGTGTCCGCATGCGTCCGCCGCAGTGAGTACAGCGCTTCGTGGCCCCATAGGGAGTTCCACCTGCGGCCCCAGGTGGAGGCCCAGGGCATCCGCGCTCAGGACGGTTTCGCGAAGCTGGGCGCCAACGCGGTCCTGGAGCATAACTTCGACCCCGAGACGCTCGGGCAGATCTTGCGCTTCGACACCGCCGAGCGCACGCAGGCCTGCGTCAACGAACTAAGAAGACCACGATGATGGAGAACGGAGCGCTGCCTGGGCCGACTGACGCCAACGCGTCGCGGCGCGCAGCCTGCGCCTAGAAGGAGGACGCCCTCGCTCCGTTCAGGGCCCTGCGCGACCTCGACGCAGACGAGCTGAGAGACTCGGTGGAGACCCACTGGAAGAGGTTCGCCAAGGGGCGCACGAAGGACGCGGACGCGCCCGTGGACGACGCCCCCGCGCCGGACGACGTCGGGGCAGCGGGCGCCGGCGCGATGTCGGCCGAGGCGGCGCAGGCGCGGTGTCGTCAAGCGCCTCGTCAGAAAGTTCGAGGACGGCGCGGTCAACCCGAGAACGGGGCAGCAGGAGCGCCGCCCTCTGAAGCCCGACCAGGCCCTGTTCGTCACGGCGGTCGCGAACGCCTGCAACTTGTTGTGGGACGAGGAGCAGAAGATCGCGGACGGCAGCATGGCCAAGCACGCGAAGCGGAAGACTTTCCAGTTCCTGCTCCTCGGCCTGGGCGGCAGCAGGAAGACCGCCATGGCGCAGGAAATCGTGCTGCTGGCCATGGGCGCGCTGTTCCCTTCGGAACCGGGCAAGGCGAAGTCCACGCTGATGATAGTCTGCACGAAGCGGTCTCAGGCCGCGAGCATCTCCACTGGCGCTCACAGTTGCCACAAGGCGGGAGTCATAGGAGCGCAGTCTTTCAGGAACAAGGACATACCCGCGGGGGGCAAGCTGAAAGCGCTGCAGGACACGTGGGAGGCGGTCAAGTGCAAGTGCTTGGTCCTGGAGGAGGCGAGCATGGTCTCGCCCAACCTTTACAACATGCTGGCGTTCCTGTCCTACCTGGGACGCAATGCCGAGTGGGGCGCGGAGGGGCGGGAGTACAATCAGGTCGGCAGCGCTTTCGGCCGGATGCCCATCGTGATCTCCCTGGGGGACGTCCTGCAGCTGAAGCCGACGGGAGGCAAGGTGTCGCTCATCTCCAGCTTCGAGGAAATGGCGACGGCGGGCATCTACCTCGCTCCAGAGTGCCAGGCCGCGATGAAGCTCTTCAGGAACACGCCGCTGCGCATCGAGCTCCAGGCGCCCAACCGCTTCAAGGACACGAAGCTCAGGGATGTCATGACGTTCCTGCGCCAACCGGGGAAGCAGGCCCTCCGGCCATCCGGGCCGCGTGGAACGCCATGCAACTGAAACCCGATGATCGTCGGCTCCAGGAGGAGAGGTTCCAGAACGGCCACATGATCGGGCCCTACTGGGACACCGCGGCGCGGCGGGTGAACGCGCGGGCACAGCGGGGCGCGGACGTCCTGAAAAAAAGCCCTTCTTCCTCGCGCAGGTTGCCGACAGGTCTGTCCGGGCGATGAATGTCAAGGACGCCGCCAAGATGATGAATGGCGCCGGCGCGAAGAGCACCGGCGGCGCGCGCGGACTCTTCTCGGCGCGCGCGGGCACGCGGATCCGGCCCCTGGAGGCGCTCAATCTCAAGAACGGCCCCGCGAAGGATGCCCAGGGGCAGATCGCGCGCATCGTCTTGGACCCTCGGGATCGGGATGACGTCGAGAAAGCCGAGAGAGACAGGGAGACGAGGGGCCGTTCACCTTCCGCGCCTCCAAGGCCACCCGGACGGGCCCCCCGTTCTCGCGCGGCAGGGCCATCGCCACGGCGGCGCGCCAGGGGCGCCCCAGGCAGTCTACAGCTGAACCTATTGGGCGCGAGCGGTCCGCAGCCAGATCATCTTTCGGTCATGCGGGCCCTCGCCCTGGGCCGTCGGCTGTCCGACGCGCTGCCACTTCGGCCGACGTCGCCCAGGCGCGATCTTAGATTGCGGCCGCCACGAGGTCGGGGGCGGCAGGCAGGAGGGCGACTAGCGGCCGGAGCTCCGCGCGCTGCTCTCGCGCGCCACGCGCCGCGAGGACTCCCCGCTCGCGCGGGCGCCGCGCGTCGAGTTCTCCCTGGCAGGGCCGCCGGATGGGCGGCGGAAGCAGCTGGTGCAGTTTGCGGCGCGCGCGAAGCGGCGCAGGAGGGAGGCGACGGCCCTCGCCGGCGAGCTCGGCGCCACCGAGTTTATCCGCGAGGCCTGACCTGAGGAGCGCCCCGCCCGAGCCGCGCATTCTCTCGACTGTCCGACCAAGTCTTTTGCCTCGCGCCGCGGACGACCCGCGCGCGTCGCCGGGGCCCTCTCGGGGCGACCAGCGCGCGTCGCGGGAACTCCGCGCCTCGCTCTGCCCAGCGCCTCGCTCTGCCCAGCGGCCAGAGCCTTGCCCGCTATCGGCCAGCCAGCTAGCTTCCTTTGCTCCGCGCAGCGGACGACCCGCGCGCGTCGCTGGGACCCCTCTGGGGCGACAGGCGCGCGTCGCGGGGGCTCCTTGCAGCGCTGCGTTTGCAGCCTTGGACATTGGAGTGCAAGGGGTCAAGAGGGAGAACGAAAAAAGAAGGAAGCGGGTGCGATCCTCGTGAGGGGCGCGCCGACATGAGGTCGCGTCGCTGGCGCTGCCGTCGGGGTTCCTGGGGGAGCTCCCTGCGGCGGCCACGCTCAGTGTCACGAGTGCTCAGAGTCAGGCAGACACAGCCAGATGCTTCTACACTAGGCGCATCCATGCTCGCATTCACGCACGTAGATTTACTCGCACGTAGACTCGATCACAATCAGACGCGCTCGCGCTCAGTCTCACCCGCGCTCGGTCCCCCGTGCTCAGACCTATCGTTTACGCTCGCGTTGTGTACCCCGCCACGCATGTCGGCACACCCCTCGCACGGTTCGTGGTCCCATAGGGATCGCCACCGAAGAAGATATTCACACTTGCGGTACGCACAATTGCATATGGTTGGGTCCTTCGCCAGGATATTTGTTTTTGCGACGCGATCCTGCGTGGGAGCGCATCGAATTTTATTGGGCTTCTCCCGACCTCAGCGGCGCGCCAAAGCGCCGCTGGCTCGCCCGCGCATGGCCTCGGAGATCCGACGTGGCGGAAAAAAACAAACATCGTAAAATATCATACACAGAGCCCTAGATCCCGTCTCACTGCGTCACTCTTCGAGCCGGATCGATCTGCAAGGGCCCTGGGGCCCGAACCAGAAGGCGAACGCGCCCGGCTCGAACAAAACTGAGGCGCCAGGGTCTGAGGGCGCGGGGCGCGGCGCCCAGGGCCGCCGTGGGGCTCGGCGCGGAGATTTGCGGCCACATCCTCGACCTGACCTACGCGGAGCCGGATGGCGCCAGGAGGGCTCCGCCGCTCGCGCGCGCAGAGGATCGGTTTCGGCGGTCGACGTTCCCAGACCTCCGACGGCGACGTCGTGAATTGTTCGCAACGTCGACCCCCCAAGGTCTGGACCCCTGCCCCGGGACCCGTTTTTCATCGCGCGTCGTTGTTTGACGGTCCTGAGGGCCGGGAAGGGCCCTTTGAGGCCGAAAATAGCGAAACACCTCCCGTCGCAACTTGTTCGCAACGCGAAGAGGTCTGGGCTCGATGCGTACCCAGACAGGACCGCGTCGTAAAAAAAAAAAAAAAAAAAAAAAAAAAAAAAAAAAAAAAAAAAAAAAATGGAAGGAAGATGTTGGGCCGTTTTCGGCCCCGGGGAGCCCTGGCCTGGCCTCGGAGCCGTCACAAAACGACTCGGGATGGAAAAGAACTGGTCCCGGGCAAAGGGTCGGGACGTCCAGGGACCGCGAATGGGAAAAATCAAGGCGGCGAAGTCGGGGAGGAGGGGGAGGAGGAGGAGGAGGAGGAGGAGGAGGAGGAGGAGGAGGAGGAGGAGGAGGAGAAGGAGGCGGAGGAGGAGGAGAAGGAGGAGGAGGAGGACCTCGAATTGAAAAAGCAGGGCGTCGTGTGTCTGGGTAATTACCCCTGCTGCTGCCCCTTGTTCTGGGCGCCAGGTGCAGCAGGGCATGGGGTAAGAAAGGCGGTCTCCCGAATGCTGTCCAGATCCCCCGCTCTGGCCCCTCGTGGGAGTCGGGGCGTCAGCATTGGCACGGCTAGAATGTCGATCGCCTGCAGTCGGGGAGCCCAGAGAGGCTCGAGCTTCGAGCTTCGAGGTCCTTTGGGGCGCGGCTGCGCCCTCCTCCTGGGGCCCCGTGGAGAGCGCCCTCGTCGCCGCGGCTGGATGCGCCTCGAAGCTTCTTCCCAGGATGTTGGCCCTGGGCCCGACGCCAGACCTCCTCAGACCCCCTCGGTTGTTCGCTATTTTCGGCTTCCGCCACGCCCATGTTCACCCCTCGCACGTCTCGCGGAGCTCCACCGAAGGCCCCAGTGGGGGCGTCCGCACGCGTCCGCCACACCCAGTACAGCGCTTCGCGGCCCCATAGGGAGCTCCACCGAAGGCCCCACTGGGGCTGCCCGCATGCGTCCGCCACACCCAGTTCAGCGCTTCGCGGCCCCATAGGGAGCTCCACCGACGGCCCCAGTGGGGGTGCCACACCCAGTACAGCGTCTCGTGGCCCCACAGGGAACCCCACCGAAGGCCCCAGTGGGGTGCCCTCATGCGTTCGCCACACCTAGTGCAGCGTTCCGTGGCCTGATAGGGAACTCAACCGAAGGCCCCAGTGGGGGTGCCCGCATGCGTCCGCCACAACCAGTACAGCGCCTCGCGGCCCCACAGGGAACTCCACCGAAGGCCCCAGTGGCGGTGCCCGCATGCGTCCGCCACGCCTAGTACAGCGCTTCGTGGCTTCATAGGGAGCTCCACCAAAGGCCCCAGTGGAGGTGCCCGCATGCGCCCGCCACACCCAGTACACCGCTTCGCGGGCCCACGGGGAACCCCACCTAAGGCCCAAGTGGCGCTGCCCGCATGCGCTGGCCACACCTAGTACAGCGCTTCGTGGTCTGATAGGGAGCTCCACCGAAGGCCCCAGTGGGGGGGGGCCTGCTTACATCCGCCACACCCAGTACAGCGTCTCGTGGCCCCACAGGGAGCTCCACCGAAGGCCCCAATGGGGGTGCCCGCATGCGTCCGCAACACCCAGTACAGCGTCTCGCGGCCCCACAAAGGGACTCCACTGAAGGCCAAAGTTGCAGTGCTTGCAAGCGTCCGCCACACCCAGTACAGCGTCTTGGTGGCCCCAGAGGGATCTCCACCGAAGGCCCCAGTGTGGGTGTCCGCACGCGTCCGCCACACTTAGCACAGCGCCTCGTGGCCCCACAGGGAACCCCGCCGAAGGCCCCAGTGGGGGTTACCCGCATGCGTCCGCCGCACCCAGTACAGCGCTTCGCGGCCTCACCAAGGAACTCCACCGAAGGCCAAAGTTGCAGTGCTTGCAAGCGCCCGCCACACCCAGTACAGCGTTTCGTGGCCCCACAGGGAGCTCCACCTAAGGCCCCCGTGGGGCTGCCCGCATGCGTCCGCCACACTCAGCACAGCGCCTCGTGGTCCCACAGGGAGCTCCACCTAAGGCCCCAGGGGGGGTGGCCGCATGCGTCCGCCACACCCAGTAGAGCGCTTCGCGGCCACACGGGGAACTCCACCGAAGGCCCAAGTGGCGCTGCCCGCATGCGTCCGCCACACCCAATACAGCGTCTTGGTGGCCCTATAAGGAGCTCCACCTAAGGCCCCCGTGGGGCTGCCCGCATGCGTCCGCCACACCCAGTACAGCGCTTCGCG